GCGCAATCTTCCTCTCGGCCTAGCGCAACGAGACCGAGGCGGACTACTATTTTTCAAATGAGTGTAATGCAGTTCAATACCAATATTTTTCCAAAACGCTAAGCTGATTTGTAATCCACGAGACAGCTTCAGAAAATTACTGTTTGTGCAGAGTTGTCAAAGTTGGTAGGTATGGGGAAGAGAAGAATTAAGTATTTCAGTAGAAGAAGAGAAGTTTGAGTATTTTAATTAGATTTTTTTAATTAGAATTAATTTTTAACTATAGAAATTGTTTTCTTTCTATAATAGTCAAACTTCTAGGATTTTTGGGCTTATAAAGACTATTACTTTCTTCAGATTGAACCTTTTGCAATTCTTTTCCCCTGGAGAGAAGCTAGAAGGTTGGAGCTTTCTAACGAATACTTGAACTCAATTCAAATTGAAGGAGTCAAAAAATCGCCCCGTTACACCATTTTTCTCGTGAATTATTCGGAGCTACTCTCCTGAAAACACGAGTTTCTAACACACGAACACTCACAGCTCTCTTCAAACTCGGTTTTATGGGGAGTAATGACATGAGACGGCACAAGCTTTGTGCTTCATAACAGATACTGAAACCTTTCAGGAAGTCGCCGACAGGCAAATATTTTTCCAAACTTTTCTTGTAAGCCTTTAGCAGTCAATCTACCCAAGTGGTCACTCTTTTACTAACTTAGGTCCAGTTTGAAGACATTGGTTCTCCTCGAGAGCATATTTGTGTACGTGAACAGTCAAATATGGACACTTCTGCAGTAGACTCTTCTGCTCTAAGGTGCGCCATGCACTCGTTTATGATTGACCAGTTTAGCTGTGCACGCATTCGCGTGCATCACACGGGACTGCATTGGTATGAAACAGGGCCATTGATATTTTTATAGTCCACCGTGAGAAACTCCGTAAATCCTCGGTGGCGCCCACCAACAGCATTTGGCCCCATTCCTTCGCCAACCTTTATCCACTTCTCACAATCTCTGGGCTCTCTCCTAAAATACATGAATTA